TTTCACTAGAGCCGAAAGTGCATTAGAACTGACCATCAGGTGAAGCACAACTGTCATGTTATAACGTTATTCACTACGTTACGACGATCAAGAACAATCACGGCTTGCGGTACCATTTTAAATCTTACCACTCATAACCCTCTTAGAATTGCGTTTATAATTACGGGGGTATTTCTTTTCGGCCGGGGTTCAACTGAGATCGGCGGCTGGCTGGCGACCATCCCGTTAGCATGACCGAACACCGCGACGTGAGTGACCTAGATTATCTTACCATGCGTCTTCTCGTTTTGCCGCAATTTCGTGTCAATATCGATGATACACAAATGGAATACGTTCCTTTATTAAAGTTGAACTTATATTTCCACTCGTCAACATTATCATCTGACATGTTATGTACGAATCGATGTCGTGCGCTTCAATTCTCCTTGTCCGGTTTTCGCTATATTCGTCGGTAGTTGTTGGATCTGTCGGGGAAAACCTCAAATAAGGTTAAGCACCCCGACTTTGGCGGCGGCCTGAGACACTTCTTGTATTTTGAAAAGTTTTTAAAAGTGCGTACTTCATTCGGACATTTACGGTAATAAAGGTTTAATATTGTTTACCACGATGTAAGACCTCCCAAACTCAGCCGGTAGCCACGTAGCTGAACACATTGGACTATGAGAAGTTTACAAGTTTAGGGGAGAGAGCAGCCGCACCGATAATACGGCAGCGGCGGTAAAAGGAGAGGTTTCTCTCATGAAATGTAACTCTATGGATATTATATCCTACATATCATTCTCTTGTGTCTATAGACTCGATTTGTCAGACTATTTATAGATAATGTAACGAGATCTTACCTTTTCATGTCTCCATTCTTCAACGTCGGAAATTTGAACCACCCGAAATGAGAGCACGTTCGATCGATAAGTCAGGCGTTCGACGCCAAAAAAACTTCCACAACATTACCGAAATAACTGGTTCAAACATGCACAAGACGGGAGACTTTCCCATCCATCTTTATTTTGCAGTTTCTTGTTATCTTTAAGAAGTCTTTTCATATAATATCTAGTTTCCAGAACCATTTTTTCGATTTAAAACAATCAGAGAATAGAAGACGGTCGCTGTCGCCAGCCACGCGACCCAAACGTGGTGCCCATGCCGTGCGTCCTCTCTCCCCGTTGTTGTTACGCAGATCTCCGCTTGACTAGACCTGAACAGAATACTACATGCATATTAATCTTTGGTTGTCCTAGTTTCGAAGTATCATTGAAGTAGCCCTAACATTCTACCTTTCCACGTAAAAAATAAAGGAAACACAAAGTGGCGAACTCGGGGTACAGTGGCGAACTCGGGGCCCCCTCCGTTACATGTACACTGTAGGACCATTCATGTTGCCCACAGGTTCCAGTCATACCTCCTTCATGTCACCATATGTCAATGTCACTATCATTCATGATGATCTTACAAAAAATATATGTTCTGATGTAGCCACGCATTCAAGTACCAGAGTTATCAACCAAGGATTGAGGTGTTCAAGAATTCATTCTTTCCTAGAACTATCGCAGAGTGGAACTCACTGTCACCAAGTACAGTAGGGGCACTGTCAATAGATAGCTTTAAACAATGTCTAGAGCTAGAAGTTCAAGGGTTAGGTGTAACAAGTCGATCGGTGTAATATAGCCAGCTGCCGCCGCGCCGCGTGCCTGCGAAGCTGGTGTGTTACGCCGAAAGGCGGTTATACCGGCTATACAGATACAGATACAGATACAGATTCGAGATTTTTTACTGTTGAACTCTTGTTGTGATGTAACCATCATATTTCTCGCTGCTCAGGCTGGCCATAATGTCAAGCTGTCCAAATCACTGTCCTACCTGTTGAGACATGGAGCTGCCAAGATGGGCTTCGAGCTAGACCCAGGTCAGATACAGGTTCTTCTTCAGCAAGAGTGTTGCTTTATGCATCTTTGTCTGTACAGTTTTTTTTTCAGGAATTGATCAAATTCTTATGTCTTTTTTTTACCTTTTCCAGGTGGCTTCCTGTATGTAGATGAGATTTTGAGACACCCGCAGTTCAAGCGTTACACCGTGGACGACGTGCATCAGGTGGTCAAGGACAACGACAAGAAACGGTTTGCTCTGCAGGAGGAGGAGGAGACGGGGAGGCTGCAGATAAGAGCCAATCAGGGACACACACTGGAGGTACGGATGTTTTATGTAACAGCTGCTGAACTGGTAAAGATGGTCTTGTGGTAAAGATCATAAGAGTGTTGATACTTCTTCTCACAACACACAACATTTGATTACCAGAATATCCATAAGCTTTAACATGATTTGCATTTGCAGGTAGAGGAGCTGGAACTAACCCCCATTACTGACCCTGCCAAGGCCCCGACAGTGGTACATGGAACCTACCTTAACTGCTGGGACAAGATCAGAATTCAGGTACAGCACAAGGGAGTAAGAGAGGTGGAATAGTACAAATCAAACCCGCTGTATCAATGTTGTTCTTGAATAGAGGGGATCTCAAACTTTCAATACATTACCTTTGATTTACAGTTTTGACATGTAAAAAAATCTAACGAGCTGCTCAATGCTAGGCTGTAAGACCACTTCTGGCCTCTTAGTCTGAACTACATGTATGTTGGTGGGAAGTATATGTGTCTATGCCAGGAGATGGCAGGGAATGTTAAGTTGGTTTTAAACTACATGTATGTTGGTGGGAAGTATATGTGTCTATGCCAGGAGATGGCAGGGAATGTTAAGTTGGTTTTAAACTACATGTATGTTGGTGGGAAGTATATGTGTCTAAGCCAGGAGATGGCAGAGAATGTTAAGTTGGTTTTGAAGTCTTGCTGGATGTATTCAGTTAGGCATGTAGTTCTCCACTAATAAAGACTTTATGTCCCCAGGGTCTGTCCAGGATGAAGAGGAACCACATCCACTTTGCACCTGGGGAACCAGGGGAGGATGGGGTCATCAGTGGTCAGAACTGTGTTTTTTTCACAACATTCATTCCAACCTTAAGTCTGCAATTTCACACAGACAAGAATTTGTCATAAACTGTATCCTGAAATTTGTCGGCTAATATTTCTAATGAAATGTATTTCATTGTTTTTGTCCTATTCTACCCAGGAATGAGAAGAACATGTCAAATTCTGGTCTTCATTGATATTGATGCAGCCATGAGAGGTGAGGAAGTTTTTCCAATATTGTTCTTTTTGTCTCTACTTATGCTATCATCATCTTTAAGAATGCTTTTCTTTATCCTTTAAAAAAGAGAGATAAAAAAACTTCAGGGACTTCTTTGGACTAAGATATGTTAGTTTTTTCTGTTTTCTTTTCAAAGAATTTATAATATTTTCTGGGACAATTGCAGTACACTGTAGTTATCTAGGATCCACTCATTCCCAATCTTGCCATCCCTTCTTTAGCTGCTACAAGCTTGCTATGGGCTGCAAAGCATTCCCACGAGGATCATGCTATAACTATATATGTAATGTACATCTTCCATAAATGATTGACTTTCCATTGATGTTATATTTCCAGATGGGCTGCAGTTTTTCCGTTCTGCCAACAACGTGATCCTGAGTCCAGGTGATGAGAGAGGGTTCATCTCACCAAAATACTTCCAGCAGGTGGTACAGTCTCGCCCAAGTGAGTAGTGCTGTGTCTTTCTTCTACATTCTTCTAAGAACTTGTTAAAGCTTCTCTATTTAGGTCAAATTCCCCTACTGTACTTGGTGACAACATGTTCACTCTGGATAAATGGAAAGATCTGAGTGGATAACTCTGGTACATTTCTGTGCTGGTATTAGATACTTAGTAGTTGGTATGTCCACCAGTTCATTAGTCATTTTGTACATCACTATGATTAGATGTTGTGACCATTGATGTTCTGTTAATTTGCAGGGAGAGTCCTTCCACTGGACGTTCCATCATCATGACAGGGTAGATCAGCAACAATGTCCAAAGAAGAGCTTCTGCATTGCTGAGTTAAAATGTAGTTTAATCAAGTTTAAATGCTCTCAACACGAGAAGATGTATTGGGCAGCACCTTCTCCATTTTATAGCCCTTAGGGCCACACAGTGGTGCAAGCACAATAGCAGTAATTTGTCTATATAAATCTGTTATGTCAAACAGATGCCCCAGTCAATGCTGTCTCAGAATAGTTCTGTTTCCATAGAAACTCTGGGTGGTATGCTTTCCCCACATCACAGCTGTTCACACACGTGTAGACAGCTAAGGTGCCCCAGTCAATGCTTTCCTTGAGGCTGTCCACCTGTAGGTAGTTCAGTAGCTGTGGCATCACCTGAAGGAGTGGGGTTGTGACAGCACCAGACATTAATTTATAACAACATGATCTACATCTCACTCATTCACATCACTCTCTCCCATAGCTTAGTACATCATGCCTAGACAGTGCAATAATCATGTTGTCAACTTTTAAGTTTGTCGGATTGTATTACACAGACTACCATGGATGGGATAGGTTTGTTGTACAGTAGAAGACACATCCCTTACCTGGAACTCAAACTGCCTGGGTGCCCCACATGTGCAGTCTGGGATGTCCTCAGTACTGGGGACGTGTTGTCTGGATACCCACAGGGGAACCCCACCCAGGTCATATCTAAGCACCTGAGATGTGAGAGAAGACAAAGCTAGACATCAGAAGCAGTTACATACAGAGAATAAAGATCTCTAGTCTGACTTTATGATGTGTGTTGATCTGTTTGACTCAGTCACAGTTTAATTGGTCCATGTTTCAACCTTGCTGTAAGAAGTTGCATAATTCAGCCTGAGGCTGCAATGTCTTCTTCATACATCATTGTAATAAACCATCCATCATCATCATCTTCACCTGTTCCGGTTCCTTCCTGACCCTCCTCCTGAAGACACTGAACTGTTGGTCCTCCTCCGTCTCCTGTCTGGCTGCTGCCTCCAGGTCCTTCTCCTTCAGACCTGAACCTCCTGCACCTTCCTGGGAACAAAGGGACACGTAGTACTGCACAAAACTAAAGTCCCTAGAAATCTAGGGCAAGGCGGTACTGTCCGTGCAGTGATATTGAACAACTAACAGAATAGTTAATGGACAGCACTGCCTGGAAATGCAGTGTGAAGACCAGCCAACTGCTACCCACCCCAACAGTATATGCTGGATACTACCTTTTGTAACATTACTAGTGACTAGAACTAACTTACCTGGGTCTGTCTCAATTGCCTCATGTACTCTTCACACTCCCTCAGCTTCTCCTCTTCATCCTTCCCAGCACCCTCCGTCTCCTCCCTCCAGTCCTCTGCTTCAGTCACCAGGTCAAACTCTGGGAACAGCAGCTGCACGTGGGCTGTGGGGAGGCTACTGTCTTCAGCTGTAGAGAACAATCATGTTGTATAAAAATTGGCTTCTGTATATTATATATTAGGTCAAGCAGCAGAAATTGAACTGAATCATGTCTAGTAATGTAGTACATTGTATATTGAAAGGACCTTCAAGAAGCTGACTGAAGCTTTCACAGGGCTAACAAACAATAACGGACATCTTACCCCCACACGCTGCCTTGTGTCCAGCCTTCCAGTCTAACACCTGATGCTCCTTGCCGCAGTACCTCACCTGGTGGCACCTGGAACAGGCCTTCCCTCCCCCACAGCCGCACACACAGCACAGGTTCCACACCTGGGGAGTAGAGGTGGTGGTGAGAACATACCAAACAATACAGAGTGGTGCATGTAAGCTCCAAGACGTAAGACAAAATCACGATTACAAGTTTACGGTCTATTATAAATTTTCATGTGGAATGGCTCGACTGCACACAAAGTGAAATGTACTGCGGTAGGTAACGTTACTACTCACCGGTTGAGTTATGATTCTTATTGAATATCAATATTTCTGATTTTGCACCACTGGGTTAGGGTTATGTAAGTGTTGGAGTTGGGAGTTTTTCGCAGGAACACACTGTCAATAGCGAAAAACAAATTATTCTTCTGACAGGTACCGTTCAACAGCCTCTGCCATTACCTACCTTTTCAGCCTGCCAGACTTCCGCTTCAGGGGGAGGTGTGTCTTCGTCCGGCGGCTCGAAGTCGTAGAAGTCGTTCTGACGCGGCAGCTGGCTGCGGTGGATGCGGAAACACGCGCTGCTGTTGGCGGTGTGGCAGGCAGGGTCCCGGCAGCAGAACACGAACACCGTCCGGTGGAAGCACGTCGCCTGCTCCGTCCGCGGGGAGTACACCTGGAGGAGGAAGACCGTGGGCTTCCCACAGACACCGCAGGCCAGCTCGCACGCCGTCGGGACGGACAGCAGGTCCAGCCAGGCTGGCTTTCCGCCTACCTTACTCGGAAAGAACCGACTCAACAACCTCCAACTGTCCGTTTCCTCGACAAATCCGAGATCTACCGAGGAAGATTTTTCTTCACGTGTGCTTTCCGCCATTTTGGTCAGGTCAAAGGTTACTGGGATATTACATTTCCCTTTTGGGGATGGTGGGTGTCTTTTTCGACAGGTTAAATGAAACCTCTTTGGGTTTTGAGTGTGGTCGTGTGGCATAACTCGTAGCCCTCCGGGAATCTTCCCCACCCCCACTCGTAGCCCTCCGGGAATCTTCCCCACCCCCACTCGTAGCCCTCCGGGGATCTTCCCCACTCCCCACTCGTAGCCCTCAGGGAATCTTCCTCGATTTTTATTGCCTTCCTTGTTCTCTTTGGTTATACAAATAAGATCCTAATTTAATGATAAATGTAATTATTTACCAGAGGATCTAGCCGGACATAGATTTGCATCCGACGGTGGTCAAATCTGTACACCACCAGCCAAGCCCGGCTCTGCTGTATTCCCCTATATCTGGTACAGATGATAATCTCCAAGCAGATCATACGATGGCCAGTGGACACTCCGATGGCTAGTGGACACTCCTCTGGCCAATGGATACTGCCTTGTCACCGTATGGTCTGCTTGAAGATTATAATCTGTCTTTCTCTTGAATCGCGACCCAATGTTTTCAGTTGACAGGTGGTTTGTAGTACGAGATCAAAACAGAATTTGTGTTTTGTACATGTGTTATATAAACGTTTAAAAATTCAAGGTGCCCAGCAAGTCGACTTGTGTCACTTGAGTCAAAAGTTGTGTCAGTTGTTCATGAGATGGTGTGACGGAATCGTTCATGCGGTTGTGGAAAACCATCGGTGCGTCTAATGTGTTCACGGTATACATGTTTAAAGAATTGAAATAGACCGAATACTTTTTTTTGTATCTTGTATTTGATAACCTGCAATAAATCATCTCACCGCATGTCCAATATCGCATATCGATATCCTACATTCATATATATAGTTATATTACCAACAGTCTACACGTATACACCGGACTACAGTTCCAATTTTCAGCGTGATACCGATATGATACGTTGAAAGTTCAATGTTGAGTTGTTGATAGCACTACACTGGGAACAGGGGCGTCGAGAAAAGTAAAAGTAAAACACAGGTGTGTGGACATATGCAGACGGGATATTTTGGATACATATCTTCGTTTTGTTTGTGACATGCATCGCCTCACAGTTATCCTATTCACGTGGGCGAACACAGATTTTGTAAGGCGTCGGCGACAGGGATATACCCATGACGCCTTCGGTGCTGGGCGGTGCGCCCTCTGGCAGCTCGAACGTGAAGTGCTGCAGCAAAGTGGTGAGGAAGAGGAATAGCTCGGTTCTGGCCAGTTGCTCTCCCGGGCACTGTCGGCGACCTGTGGATAGTGACCAAAATGCAACAGACATATCATGAAAGAATGCGTTCCTTGGTCAATACTTTGGTTAATTGTTTGGTTGTAGCTATAGGCCCTGCCTACCCTGAGTGTCAACCTTTTTAGCTTTCGTCCGCTCCCCACGGACGAAAGCTAGAAACGCTAACACTAAGGCTAGGCCCTGCCTGCTCTGTTCCGGAGAACATCAGAAACTACGTATACTAGTAACCAAATGCCGGGTCCACATCGAGTCTTCTCTAACCAACCCATGGTGTGGACACTTATTCTTCCCGTCTGGTCAATTTTCACTGTATTGTCATGTGCGTTAACTAATTAAGGAGTACAAGTGTGGTGGAAACTACAGATAGCCATACATATATATGCCGTGCATGCTAGTGTACATAACGTGAATACGCAAACATACCGATGGAGAAGGGAAGGAACTGTTCAGGCCTGACGACCTTCCCCTGCTCATTCAGGAATCTGGTGGGGTCGAACCTGTCCGGATCGGGCCAGTGTGCCGGGTCCATGTGGACGGACCACAGGTTCACCAACACCTGCAAACATAACACAACATCACATCACACTCAGGGACCAGTCACGTTCATCGGACGATTATTTTTGACGCAGGATTTCAGCACCGTGACTTAAGCAGACTCAACCATCGAAAGGGACAGTCTTTCCCATCACAGCTTACCACACATCCAGGGCTGGCCATATGCATGTCGCAAACCTAAGACGACCATAGGCCTTACTGACAATCACAAGTTAGGCTAGGGGTAGTTAACAGTCATAGCCAGTCTCACATGGTGATGACGATATCGATGCGCTATGTAGAGACAGTCACCTGTGTGCCTGCGGGGATGTTGTACCCGCGGAGTTCCACGTCCTGCGAGGCGGCGTGCGGGATGCTCAGCGGCGCGATGGTGCGGACCCGCTGGACCTCCAGAATGGCGGCCTCCGTGTAGGGCAGGCGCGGCTTGTCGGTGAGGGATGGCCTCCTCTCCCGCCCAACCTCCCGGTCCAGCTCGGTCTGCATGTTCTCTTGCACCTCGGGGTGGAGGGCTAGGTACAGCAGGGCCCAGCGCAGCGAGGTGGTGGTCGTCTCGGCGCCGCCTATGAACAGATCTGGGAAAATCTCGCTTTCAGTAAAACGAATTATATATGTTGGGGATATTTACTAATGACCATTGCAAACCCTAGGCCTGCTATGCTATAAGTCACCAATATCTTCCGTATCCAACATTTGGATGTTTCAGTCAAACCATGTACATCCGACGGACATCGATCAGGAAAGCTCTTTTCAATCACTACCAGACTACTTTTTTTTAATCCAAGCAAGTCGAAAGCCTTACGATGTAAGACTTTCTTGGAATACATCTGTGGACTTTGACTCTAGACCACCTTCTCTTTCCGCTTTCATTTTCCGACAGCTCATGATTATTGCAGTGTCTGCTGCGGTATAACATTTTTTTTCATCACGTTTCTTAAATGCCGAATCAGACACACCTTGCATGATCATGGTGACCTGGTCGTCCTCCTTCAGAGCTGCCTCCAGACTCTGCACGAAGCTGACGTCATCGTTGTTGTTGAGCTGGCTCCTCTGCTCCCGGATGACTCCGGACAGGAACTCCCGGATCTCCTCAGCGCACCTGAAGACGTCACTTCCGGTCTGTCCCATGCCAGGCAGAAATCGCAGCCATGGAAACACGTTCAGGATCTGCTCATTTGATATAGTAAGAAAATTCAACAGATGATCAATAAAGTTCTTAACGACGAGAGACGAACAAGGAGAAGTTTCCACCAGAGAGTGAGAGAACTGTCGAGAGGCAGGTAGTCTTGTTATCAACAAAACAAAGATGAACTTTCATTTCTAAGTACTCTTCGGTGATATTGAATTTCGAAGTGAGGATGGGCCATGTGTACCTGACTGGGTCCCATGGCGGCCACGGTACGGTCCATGAGCGCCACCAGGCGGTGGAACAGCGGGTCGTCCTGCTCAAACCGCGCCCCCAGGATCATGGAGCAGATGACGTTCAGCACCGAGCAGCCCAGCAGATGAGAAGGGTCAAACGCCTCGCCGCTGGCCGCCTGCCGTGCGAAGTTTTTCTTCAATTCCAGCACTTCCTCTGAGAAATGTAGTAAATTGCTTTTAAAGGAAACTAACTTGGAAGTTAGTTTCAAAAGCCTACTATACTTTGCTAAATGTACCAATCTGAGAGAAACGCAAGCAAGGAGTGTGCAAAGTTCCTGGCGCAAACACACGGTGTGCAAAAACAAAAGAACAGATGCAATATGTACGTTCGATGACGACAATCATATCATATGTTAAACTACAATTTGGCATTGAAAATGCGCCATAGACCTGCAGCTATCTGGTAAATGACTGACAAATTGCGTAGGCTTTTGTTATTGACAATATCATTGAGATATGGCCGGATAGCTAAATACGCATGTTGAACTCTTGGGGGTCTTACAGTGCCTTAACTTATCAGGTTGTCCAATGACAATGAGAAAATTAGAAGGTTGCTTTGGGAAATGTGTGAAATGTCAAGATAACGGTGAACAGCCAGCTGCAGCGCCAGTGTCGAAGGATGGATATCTTGTTTGTCGAAGTAGTGAAACAATGAAACCATTTCATTAAATACATACACTGATCGTAGTAATTATATAATAAATCTCGATTTATTTCTACAAGAATCTTCAATCTTCTTGTAGATCTTCATTTCTACAAGAATCTTACCGTGAATCTTTTCCTCCATTATGCCTTTTCCCATTCCGAACCGCCTGAGGATCGACACCATGGCCTTCCTCCTGTTCTTGTACTCGTCACTGTAGCCAGCGAATCCAATGCCTGGGAGATGGTAGATCACGAGATAAGGCACACATAATGGCATTGACGTGAAGTTCACAACGTGCAAAAGAATGTTCGTTGATATGAAGATACTGGCAGCAATATGCATGTTACTTACCTTTCCCACCACAGCTAAGCTCGTGAAGAACGTACATGTACGGCCTGTCAGACAGACTGTCTGCTTTCTTCAGCAGCGCTTCTCGGATGGCGTCGTACCCGTTGATGACCACCGCGTCCTGCAGCCCCATGCGTATCCGGTAAATGTCGCCGTGCTCTCTCCGCCACTCCGTGAGCTGGAGGTGCGGATTTGCGCCCAGACTCGAGAGGTTGCCGATCAGCGGGTAGCCAGGAGGCCCCGCCGGCAATTTCTTCTTCTTGCCTTTCCCGAAGAACGTGTCGACAGCTAGTGAGCTGATTGAGCTGACGAACGCCAGGGCAGCACTGAGACCCTGCCAGCCGAAAGGTACGTATGAAGCCATCTTCTCAGATCTGCTCACACACTGTACCAGCCAACTGTACAGGCAGTAGACTGGCTCGAGCTCTACTTGCAGAAAGTACATGCGTTGTATTTTATAGAAGGTATGAAGGACAAGATGTTTTTATATAGTAACGTTATCTTCCCGGCCTATGGCCTTCATTGCTAGAAATGTGTATATGCAAGGTCCTTTGCTCTTGCGTGATGTGTAGACTCGCATTCGTCATTTCGTATGGTATAAACGTAAAGACGACGGCGTGTGCGTTAGCCTCGAGCGTCACACCTACATATGCACGTAAATGACTCAACACACGAGCAGAGTAATGTATATTGGCCCACCTGGTGTACTTTAATAGTTGACGAGAGCCGTAGCGAAGCCGCGTCGTTACACGTCTAGCTAGGCGCCAAAAAGGCACCATGGCACACTTCAGTTTAGCCGTGGCGACTCTTGAATCAAGAGTCGCCACGGCTAACTTCAGTTGAACACGACTGATTTTACCTTTGTATCATCATCTGTTTAACAGCATTTTTGCTGAGATATTGAGAGTTTTATTAATCTAAACGTAAAAACGGCTTTCAATCTGTAGGATTTCTTAATGTGACGCCAGGGTATCTGTGCATAGCGCCGCCTCTTCCCGGCCGTTGGTCGACAGACTTCTGTGAGATAGAATTCCTAGGTTGCACAAGGATAAAAATAAACGTACCAGGGACAACGGAAAACACCTGGTTTATCCCACCTATCCTCGATCCCTTTATGACAGGTTGGACAAAGAAGTATGGGTGAATTAAGCTTTAAGGTTAGGCTGTTCTTTCGTATCAGCTACATGGGCCATACATGTATCGTTGACTGTGACTATCCATTACTAGTATCCAATATCAAAAATAACACCAAACACAAAACAGCATCAATTGTTGATACATAATTCCCAACAACAAAATTGTGTACCAGAAGAACAGTCTTTATTCACATGATGTAAATCATTGGCAAATCAGAGCTCTTGCTGCTCAAAGGCATGATTGTCAGTTATCTACATGATACTTGAGACAAATATAGGTTCAAGTATAGAATATGTGTACATGTAAATGGGTTTGGGTACATCCAAAATACTACAATAACACACAATGAAAACCTGAGATTTGTAAAGGCACCAGTAGCCAGATACTTGGAGTCTGTGGCAAGCCCAACATTCCCTACACTACATAAACTATGACATAGTTTATACATATCTCCTCATTCAAAGGGGATCAGTCTTTTTTAAACGAGGTAAAACTTTACATCCAGTAGCAAGTTATACTGTCAATATCGGACAGTATAACTTAGTATAATAGTGAAGCAATTAACTTTTCGAATTTAAAGTGTGGAACTAGTATCATTCAGGGCTCTGCTCTGCAAGGCGCAGCACCTGTTTTAATGTACTTCATACTAATTGGAAATGGTTACCTGCAATTATATGATGTGTAACATTAGAGGCAAAGTCATCATAAAGCACCATACAATCATGTGTGCATGTGTGGGACATGCAGATTTTCCTCATGAAGAAAGAATAGATGTTATGACTTCCATGGGGCCTGCATGGCATTTCTCTTGTATAAGGCATACTAAGCCATAATGCATTATGAGTGCAGACAATTCTCTTCTACTCCTTGACGTCCTTCAGCATCCTGCGTAGGATCTTACCACTTGGTGTCTTTGGAATCTCCCCGATGAACACCACTCCACCCCGCAGCTTCTTGTAAGGGGCGACTCTCTCAGTGTGAGAAGAAAGTACATGTAGTATTCAGCCTCAGGCCAGGTGGTGTCCAACAACTTGGGAGTATTCAAATTGACAATCTCCTTCTGTCTCCCTCTTTCTTTGCAATCTGACATGCCTCAAACAAATGTAGACTCCTCACCAACCTTCCGTCTGTCTTTGATATTTCTAATGCATTGTATTATAGTGAAGTTTTTGTGAAAGTTACCATTTTTAATGTGTCTTGAAACATTTTGTAACTTAATCATTATGTGACTGTAACAACTGCAGTGCAAGAAATGATGAAAATTACCTGCGACAAAGTCTGTTATGTCTTTTTCTGTGACAGCGTCAGACTTTTTCACGATGAAGGCTTTTGGAAGTTCCCCTGCCACGTCGTCTGGTAACCCGATGACGGCTGCATCCTGGACACCAGGGTGGCCCAGCAGCACGGCTTCCAGCTCAGCCGGCGCCACCTGAGGGGGGGGTATCATAAAACATTCAAACTACATGTACAACTTCATAGCCTAGCTAATATCTACAATGACTTAAGTTACTAGTGACTTCTACAGTGACGTGCCTTGCTAATAACTACAATGACTTACTAGTGACTTGTAGTTTTTTTATTTTTTCCTCTCATATAAAACATGCATAGAACTTTACAAGAATGACTCTGAAAAACTGACATTGGCCTGGAATGACTTGAATCCATCACCATCACACGTAACACACGATTTGGAAATTCCACAGTATAGGGACCTCCCCGTGAAGGTTATGTGATATCTCCTGTCCCCCAGACTGCACCTGGGGAGCTGCGTGAGAGCCGTGTTTATCTGTGTTGTACCTGGAAACCCTTGTACTTGATGAGTTCCTTCACCCTGTCCACGGCGTAGAAGTTCCCGTCTTCATCGTAGCGAACAATGTCGCCTGTACAAAGTCAATTAAGTCAACCATAAGATTATACACCACTACAAATGTCTACAATGAGAACACTACCAATAAATAAATGATACAGAAACTGGCCCTATCACACAATGCTGAAAAGTCCTTCTAAAATTAATGGATTTGGATGATACTTTGCAAAATGCCCTATCTGTTCATGATGAATTTTTCTAATGTCAAGGCCTTACCTTAAAAAAGATCATAAGAATCTATTCATAACTTTTTGACTTATCCTGTTTTGTGAAGAGGCAAGCAAACAAGTTCTGGTGAAAACATCACATCCTTGACTGTGGTAACAAGGACATTATATCATATCACCACACATTCCGAGACATTGTCAAGGAGATCTGCAAATCTTCATCAGGCTGGCGAGCCATTTGCAAGTTAAGTTGTTTTCAACACAAACCACAGTAGATTTCCTCATCACCAATGTTTCAGCTGCTATCCGCTGCCTTCATCAGATTTCAGTTCTTCGTGATGAAGGCAGCTGAAATCAAACACATCTTGATGAAAAAATTGACTGTTATTATGTTAAACTAGAGGTTTACTAAAATTGTCGAGGAGAAATGAGGACATATTACACTTAAGTGCTTTATAGAAAGTTAGAAAACAACTTTGAAACAACTTTTTAAAAGAAAAGTGCAGGAATAAATCAGTGCTCCACCCACCTGTACGTAGCCACCCGTCTGGGTCTATGGTGTTGGCTGTAGCCTCAGGATTGTTGTAGTAACCCTTCATGACCTGTGGACCCAGCACACACAGTTCTCCATCCTCTCCAGGTCCCACCGCTTCTCCTGTCTCGGTGTCAATCACCTGTCATGGACAGTGGTTACAGGATAACACAGTGAACACAGCTGTATGTACTGTGTAGCTTCCCCTCTTCACATTAAGTTCTCAAAAGCAAATTGCAGCCAAAATTCAATTACAGTTGACTAGCAATTGTATCAGCATTGTTTGAAAGTGTGTCTCAATAATCACCTTGGCCTTTGTGTTGGGAACGAGGACTCCAAAAGACCCAGGGACAAAGACTCCTTCTCTTCCAATGGTGACAATGGGGCTTGTCTCTGTTAGGCCATAACCTGAAACAAACACAAGGCTGCTGACATACTAGCAGTAGAAGGGGCAATAGAATACCACCTGGTACAGCCAACCAACTGCAGTCAGAAGCCAAATTAAAATTCCTTTCCAATTCTACATACTATGATATAATGCTCTGTTGGTTGTCTTATCCAACCAGTAACCACTTTTTTTTGTGGTCCCCAGAAGGCTGTCATACTCAACAACCAAAATTGTTTGACAGTGGCACCCATTGAGGATTTCTGCAACAAGTTCACCTCCATGACACCCACCTTGCCTGTGATTGGGTATCTTGAGTCTGTCCATCAGTGCCATGGTGATCTCTGTTCCCATGGGAGCGGCACCACAGAACACCTCCTTGATCAGCGAGAGGTCGTAGTTGTCCACTATGGGGTGTTTAGCCAGGAACACAGCCACGGGGGGAACAGTCAGGATCCTGGTCACCTGGGGGAACAGGAAGAATGCTTCAATGAAGAAGTTAAAAATGTGTGCTTAACATTCAATGATCCCAATCAAGAAATACCTCTATATTACCAACCTCTATATGAAGTGACTTAAAAACTTCAGACTTTCCTCTGAAGATGCATGTGTGTGCACATTTTTGTCTCACCCACCTTGTAGTTTTGGACACATGCCAGGAAGGACTCTGGCTCGAAGCGCGGTACAGTGACCAACCTGACCCCCTGCATGAGACAGTTGAACAGAATGACCACCAGCCCGTAGATGTGGAAAAATGGCAGCTGTCCGATCAGACATTCCTCCTCTCGGTCCAGCAGCATGACTCCCTTTACCCTGCATGGGGCAGAGATTAGGAAGGAAGTTCTGTCTGAGTATAGACACTTATGAAGATTTCAGTTCACATCAACTACATTGCATTCTTTATTATAGTTTTCATTGCTTTGTTCTATTACACATGTACATTCTTTTATCATGGTATTTGTTTTTGGTTTCATTTGGCACACCTATTTCTTTTACAGATGATTGTTTGCTTCTGCTTGTTGTCTCCACCACAACATATAAGACACATAAATAAAAATGACAGAAAAACAATAAAAACATAATGTACAGATTCTGGCAGAGGTTGGCGATGATGCTGTAGTGTGTGAGCATGACGCCCTTTGGCAGTCCGGTGGTGCCGCTGGAGTAGGGCAGCATCGCGATGTCCTCATGAGGGTCAATCTTCACGTCAGACGGCATCGCTGACCCATCGTCAGCCAGCAGGTCAGAGAGAGGCTTACAGCCCTCGGCTGTACCCCCAATTATATAGATGTCCTTCAAATGTGCAACAGAACATGGCAAGAAACCAAATAAATGATCAAACAAAGAAATACAAAGGTAAATAAATACATTGTAGCCCTGCAGGAGCACCACCAATTACATGCATATAAAGTAATAGAATATGTTAAGCAGATAATCAGACAAGGAAACATATAGAATTAAGTCTGGAAAATTTTATACCAAGCAAGCAATACTATTCCAAGTCAGTACAATTTGCCAGGGTTAGGAGATCTCATCAGTACTTTGTACAGTGCAGATATTTGTGCCATGATCACAATGTGGATAAATGTCACCAGAAATCATGGATTGATCTGCATGAGTAGGGAACACTTACCTTGACATTAGGACAGTTGGACTTTGCTTTTCTGGCGTTTTCTGCAAAGTCAGCAATGGTAACGATGTACTGGGCCCCGGAGTGTGTCACTTGGTTGGTCAGTTCACCTAAGAACAACCATTATAAAAGTAACAATTATTATTGTCAACAGTTCGAAATGCACAGCAATTTTGTTGAGATCTCACTTAAGAAAACTCCTTATCATTTCAGCCTTGATATGCCTACATATGCATATTTCAATATCCCTCACCCTCTTACCTACGGTATACAGAGGATTCACAGTGGTTACAATCCCTCCGAGTGCAGTAACAGCGAACAGGACAATGGCATACTCGGGTAGGTTGGGGGAGTACAAAGCAAGCACATCCTGCTGTTTGAAGCCCAGCCGTGTGAGGGCGCTACTGAGACGCCGGATGAGGTCCTTGAGTTCAGAGAAGGTGTAGGATCGCCCAGTGGGGCCGTCGACCTAGTGGACAGAAAAAGGAAAGATTACACTTCTGCATAAATACCTTTAGTTTGTAGATTGTCCATACAGTTTAAGCAATCGTGAGATTTAAAAAAAAAACAAGAATTAGAAAACATGCACCCCGCCAACCATCACCCAATCATGAAGAGATAAGGCTTAATATTTAATTTCCATCATCTGATGACAGTTCAGAACTTTCAAATACTAGTAATATGTTGACAAGATTCTCTGTGCCAAGACTCAATCCACCAAAGTCGTATGGTATAAGGAAGTACATAATTTGGGCTGTCCTGTTCACAAGGAGATGTTAACATGTAACCTTCTTGGCATGGGGCACCATGGATACCTGATATTGTAATGTGTATGTTTGGCATTGATCAATTGCAATGCCAATGTCGTACTGTACTGTAAAATTAATGTACGTACCATAGCAACGTTGTCCCCATACTGATCGAAGTCTTTGAGCACAAATTCCGTTAGGTGCTGTTTGTCGGGGATGTGTACGTCAGGGTAGCTGCTGTGGACGATGCGGTCTGCAGCCGCACCTGACAAACCTCGTGCTGAAAGGTGACACCTCTGCAAACACCTGCACAGGTGGGGCAGTGGGACACGTTAGAAATGATCTTTTTTTTATTTGATTAAGAAATTATACATTTGATTAAAGTTGCATAAATGGTCCTACACATCTCCTGCTAAAACAATGATATACTTAAAGCATCCATATTATGTTGAAACACAGTGCTCGCACATTATTGTTGTTTACCTGTACATAATACAATGTACCCCTAACGTTACCGTTACGGCCACGCCCCTCCGCAAATCTTCAAAAGTGTGTCACCTTTTTTCTGCCGAACTGTAACGTTAAGTTACATTAACCGATCGCTTCATTATTTTGGTGAGTAGTCGTGATTTCCGCTCCTGACCTTTTGACCGATGCCAGTTGCCCCAGATAAGCATTGGACCGCCAAACCTGGGATGTCTTCAAGAGGCAAGACTTGCTGAAGTGTCTTGAAGTCTGCAGGAGTTTTCTTTGACCTCGGAAGGAGACTGTTGTAAGTACGACACGAACGGGAAACATCTTGGCACACGAATCACTACAGACGGTACAAGATTTCGGTTAAAATGGACTTTTAGAGCACTTCTCCCTACAGTGCAGTGTTTACCGTCCCGGTCCGGCTGACATGTTGTGTTGGAGCGGTGAAAGGTCACTTCCCGCCGCCGCACCGCTGAACTCTGAACCTATCCGGTCAGAGGTTAAATGCTGCACGCGACAGACGGATGTGCCGATCAAGGGCAGTCGTGGCGGTCACGGTCGAGTTTGTGTTCCGCAGGGATTGATTTCAGATTCTCTGGGAAAGAATGTTGACTCTCACATGACCCAGGTGAAGTGCTATATAAAATCATTGCATAGTTTATCTACCATAACTGCAAACGCTAGAAACTATAACGTTAGTTATTTATACAATACTAGTGGTTATCAGGGATCACAGGCCCCCAGCCTGTCAGCATTAAAAGTCTACCCTCTTGTCTATCTAGCACATTGATTTAACGTCGCAGTGGGCAGCGGTCTATAGTTTCCCTGGAGAGTGATTTGAGGGGTTTGAAGGCACGTGCATATTAAACGCTGTGATTTCCTCCCGACATTCGCTGATTTTAAACCTCACCGGTCTCTTCAAATCGATGCGTTGATATAAAACTCAAAAACGCAATAATCCAATAATGTGAACTCACTTCCAGTCATAAATCAGGCCGACATGTTTCTTTGTCTGGGGTCAAGTTTATGGCATGTAACACGTTATCTACACGTGACCTGCATGTCCTTAAACTTGGAATCATATATTTTAGGCGCGTCATTTTAAAGTTGTATACGTGTCCAGCTACCAATAAACTTAACTTTTAATATTACACAGCGTATAAGATACAAGACGTAACGCAACTTGTATTACCTACACAGGACATTTTAAAGCTACTCTCTAGTAGATAATGAGTTGAGACTATGTGCATGTATTTTGGTCATTCTGACGCATTTATGCAAGGAATCGTAATATTTAGGACACTCAGTCAGAAAGCGTCGTGTTTCTCCTACGTACATGTAAGGTCATTTATTAAATGTAGCATATATTGAAACTTTATTGATTACCGGTGTCCAAAGGCTTATTACAAACAGACAATAGCATGGATAACTTCTTAATTTTAGTTTATGTGCATGTTAAAGTTTTTACATTGTTTGTGACTGTGGGTTGTGATCGGTATGTAATTAATTCAGTACATATTTGGATGTCTATGCCCAAATTTCAGTCCGGAGAGAGAGAGAGTGTGTCGTATCCAGTAGCCTCCTGCCACACGGCCCTCCGTCCACACACCACGGGGTGTAATGTGACACCTGCCCGGTAACACACCTGTCGGACAGGTTCCAGGTGACCCACGGCACGTCCGTACGTTAACCTGGGTGGAACATGCCCCGGCTGGCTGCCTCTATATTGTTTGCACTGGTTGTTCTGGTCGGCTACCTTTACGTCAGTGAGAAGAACCCCGGCGTGTCACAGGGCGGGAGGATTATGTCCGCCATCATGCGAGCCATGGAGGGGGACGACTGGGAAATGGAGGACCTCCTCCCAAAGGAAACTGTCAGACAAGCTCACGAGGGGGGAGGGGAGGGTGACACCGATAGCTACCACTCGTCAGATGATGACGAAGACGTTTTACTCAGACCGTCTCAGAAGAAACCGTCGCTGTGGCAGAAGTACCGTCGCGTCTTGAACCGAGCGTCCCTGTGTTTGTGCGCGGTGGTGTTAGCCTGTGTGACGCTCGGGTCGGTAGCCGTGATCTACTCCTACAGGAGCCAGCCCAGACCCGAGCTGGAGTGGTGGCAGAAGGCGGTGATTTACCAGATCTATCCCAGGTCATTCCAGGACAGCAACGGCGACGGGATCGGTGATCTCAGGGGTACGTAGTGTTGTCTTAAGCCCCGGTTGCATACATCGTATGCGTACGACGCACCTTCGATTATTTTTTTCCGCGACGGTCGTACGTCTTGTGTTACGTTTGCGAAGAAACGGATGCAACGGTTGGCTTCAACTAGTGAACCCGTGTCTTCTCAAGTCTTCGACGTACGGCGCGATCGTTGAGAAAAAAAAGCATAGCCCATAGGTGCATCGTATGATGATCGGGCCTTACAGACTAGCGTTCGTTGTATGACAGTATGTATGTTTTGCTCATATCTAACATGCTGTCATGCGAAGGAATGAACATGAATGAGCATCATGCCACGGAATGAATATTACGCCCAGACCTGCTGTGTGTGCAAAGTTGCCGTACCAGGATTTGTCCAATCAACCAGAAAGGATTTGAAAATCATGTTACGTAATTTATCACACTGTGAGTCATCAAAGGGGCGTCTGGATTTTGCAAAATTTATCATTATAAACCGTGTATAGATTGTCTTATTTTGTGGTCGGCGATGTCCATATCACACAGGTATCGAGAGGCGGTTAGACTACCTGGAGTACCTGGGAGTGGGGGCCATCTGGCTAAGTCCCATCTTCAAGTCTCCCATGAAGGACTTCGGCTATGACGTGTCCGATTTTACAGACATCGACCCCATCTTCGGGACTATGGCGGACTTCGACAGTTTATTAAAAGCTCTACATGACAGAGGTAATAAAAAGAATCCCCCCCCCCCTTTCGACGTAGTGAACGTAGCATGAGCAAAATCTCACTAGTATGAATTCCTGCAGGAAAAAGGTGTATTTTGTAAATTTTGTTGTATTTCAACTCAGGCCGTTAAAGTAGAACGACGATTACATGTCATTCAATGTTCCGAAATAAAGTTGGTAATTTTCTCTGAACGCATGGGTGTGTGGTGTGATAATCATCTGTAACGCATGCACTCGATAAACCTAGAATGTGTAACCTTCATCGACACATGTATATCATTGCTTTGCGAACAAAAAGTGAGTTTCATCTATCGTGTTGTAGACATGAAGCTGATTCTGGACTTCGTGCCGAACCACACGAGTGACCAGCACCACTGGTTCGCCTGGAGCTCGGGGAGCCGGGACGAATCGAACCCGTACAGGGATTACTACATCTGGTCAGACGGCAGGGACGGAGGGCCGCCAAATAACTGGGTAAACCTTATGTCATAAAACCCGTCTCAATTTAGGAATCGTTTAGGTGATCTGACTGATGTATATGGTCGCTTTCACTCCTCTTAGAGAAGTTGGACTTACTTATACCCCAAATATGGAGAAGCACACTTCTTTTCTCAGTGGCAATGATTCGCTTCTTCTGCAGCGTAATGGAAGGAGTCGATCAAATGTTTAAGATAGGTTGTAACGTCCCCCGTCTCTGTTTTTTTAGGGATGGTTCATCAGTTACATGGGTGAAGTGCATTATTTTTTGTCAGTCTCTTTCTCTGTATGACTCTGCAGTGACTAAACGAATCCCGCATGTTAACGTGATCACATCCCTGTGTAGGTGAGCGTGTTCGGGGGCCCAGCGTGGACTTACGTCGCGTCACGTGACCAATGGTACCTTCACCAGTTCTTACCGGAACAACCTGACTTGAACTTCCGGTCACCAGACGTCAGGAGACATATTGAGGTGAAAAAATACACGTTAACAACACGTGTAGCTTGAAATACAACTTGAAATTAATTAATACAAAATCTCGGAATAAATATTACATAATGTATTACATAATGTTTACCTAAATATCTACGACGTTTTTCTTAAACTGTTATGGAAACTTAAGATAACTTATTTTCCAAGTGAACATGTGTCTGAGTGTCCGTTGTCCCGTCAGAACGTGCTCCGTTTCTGGCTGGAGAAGGGAGTGGACGGGTTCCGGCTGGACGCCGTGAAGCACCTGGTGGAGACGGAGGACCTGTCTCAGGACGAGCCGCCCAACACTGGGTACGCCGGGGAGCCTGGGGAAACACTGGTACGTAACAACAGCACTCTTCTGTTAAAGTTACCCTCAAGACCTGAAGAATATCCTAATGCACGTTTTTGATCTGTCAAGTGCTCGAAAGAGACGCAAGAATTAAAACATTAATTTACACGTCTCCGGTTAATAGATGATATTGCATGTCACCAGGAGCAGTACGGCAGCCTGCTTCATCCGTGGACCACAAACCAGGAGGAAACTCACGCCGTCATACGGGAGTGGAAGTCACTCATGGAGGAGTACAGCAAGAAAGGATCGTGCAGGTTTGATTGATTATAATATCAATTGGTTTTAATCGTACTATACTACCGACCTACACACATATGAGATTTCACGTTTATGTCGTGCGAATATTAGATTTTGAATCCCAGGGAATATAGATGCGTTTAGCATGTGTTTTCATTGGCGGTCGTCAGGTTCATGGTGACGGAAGTGTACGATGACGACATGAAGGTGCTGATGACGTACAACAGAGAAGCCGACATGACCTTCAACTTTAACCTGCTGGGCCTGGGGTCCGGTGGGCATGCGCCGGGCAACCACACGCGCGGATTGGTGGAGAGCTGGATGTCCAACATGACTGACGGGCAGTGGCCAAACTGGGTGGTGAGGAGGGTTTTTTCACAAAAAGGATTTTTTCATACAACTTAAATGTGCAGCTTGAGTACAACTTTGAGAATATCACTAAAAGACTGTTTTGTTCGTATCAGATTGGTAACCATGACAACCACCGGGTGGCGAGCAGGATCGGGCCGCAGTACGCACGCGCGGCCAACATGCTCCTGCTGCTGCTTCCGGGAACGCCCTTCTGTTACTATGGCGACGAGATCGGGATGGAGGACGCCAGGGTGTCGTACAACGACACGAAGGACACATTTGCACTGAACAATCCGGTACGTTTCTTCTGTTGTCTGGGATCGGGGATTTTGGCACTTTCATTTTGACTGCTAGTATTTCAATATCATTAGGAACATCGCTAGGGTAAGGCACAAGACAAAGTAAAGACGAGTGAACTAATCCCTAGCTATCCATCTGTCTGGAGGCCGAATAAAATTGGTTGATTCCCTGTTTCAGGACACGTACGAGACGAAGAGTCGCGACCCTGAGCGCACGCCCATGCAGTGGAACGGCACGGAAAACGCGGGGTTTACAGACCCGGAGGTCCGGCCGTGGCTACCCCTGCACGACAACTACCACAGAGTCAACGTTCAGGTGGGTTACCTGCGATACCTTCGAAGATGAAGATATCGCAACATACCGTTTTATTAGTATCAGTTTTCATTCATCTCTACCACTGGATGAAAAAGGTAGATTACTTCCGGATGTTTCGAGTGACAACCATCATACTTCATCAGTTTCAATGAATAATGTAGAAAGCTCCAGATACTGATTGATTCGTCTACAATTTGGTTTACTTCAATTCCAAACCTTCATTAATGTACCGTTTTCTAAATGCTGTTTATATTTTGTTCCCAAGGTCCAAAGCGCACACCCAAAATCCATCCTACACTTGTTCCGTGCTTTGGTGGAGCTCAGAAAAGAGCCGACTTTCCTGTACGGCGAGATTCGCTACTTCCTCTCCACGCCGAACATCTTCGCGTTTTCGCGGGTTCTCCGCGGGCGACCGACGTACCTGGTGGCGATGAACCTGGGCGGGAAGTCGGAGACACACAGCTATTACTCCTGGTGGGACGGCTGGCCCAGGGAGGCCGCGGTCGTCCTGACCAGTGACCTGGACAGGGAGGGGGACATGTTGGACCTGAAGGCGCTGACGTTACGGCCAGGAGAGTGCGTGGTTGTGAAGTGGGGAAGGGCCTGGAATTGAGTTTGGAAACTACAGGTGAAAAAAAACCCTCCATTTTGACTCATGGAGTCATGACATGGTATTCGAGAGAATGCGTAGTTTTGAAGTGAACAACGCGTGGAACTGAGATGGTTGTTAAAGTTTGTTTCGTGCTGACGAGCAGTCGGAATGTTACCATTTACAGTGGAAAAATGCAGCAATCAGCCAGTCTGGCATGCGATGCAGAGAAACTGTGAAACTCTTGCCAGTACTGTCCCGATGCCAACGATGCCAACGTAACACGATAAGTGAATGTTGGAGTCAACGATTTAATAAGTCAAGAGAGTGGAAAATTTAAGTTCTAAACCAAAGGCATGAGGCTTAAGTGTAGCGGCCTGAAACGTCGGCTTTCCGGGCCGGCAAAACTATCATCAGGATCGGGTGGCTGCAGTGCAATCGGCCATAAGTCGCCTCCAGCTATGATATTGATTCAGAAGCAAAACTACAGTGAAAATGTCATCTTGCCGAGAAAATGTAGGCGAAAACATCGTGTTGTTAGATATAAATGCGTAGTTCAAGTCATCCTCGGATATGCAATCAATTCTGTGTTTAGAGTACGTTCTCGAATACCGACAATCATCGCGCGTTTACCGCACCTTGCAAGAGGGTCGCTGTGACCGTGCTACGCTGCTATCTTACGTCATCACGACCCTCCAGAAGTAAAACTCGTACTCTATAGTGTGTCTGCACAGGGACTTGATACCAAAGACCGTCTGCAAGGCTTGTCCGAGTCTATCATATTGATACAACCTATAAGATACACTAAACATATATTTCTATTTTTGGTATCGTTTAAGGTATCTTAAGGAGTAAGGTAGTTGTTTTCTTCCAGGTTATTCCGATTTTGTATCTTGTTAACGAATGTTTATTATTATTGCTGTTTTTTCAAGTCAACAAATAAAACTTGTTTGAATGATGCAGGCATCATAAAAAGTCGACGCTTATGCCGATTTTGTCACGTTTCAAGGTGATAAAAAATGCTAAGAAACACAACCCTTTGTCAAAGGTACATGTGATATTTCACTATTATAGACAATAAAGTGAAGTAATTCATTTTTACAGGAACTAAATTTCGTATTTAGGAGCAGATATTTTTGCGAAATAATGACAACACAGTACATTACACACCTTATATTACAAGTTTATTTATATATATGTTTTATATTTTACATTCAATCGATGTTAAGAGGGTTCAGGTATTTGTTCCTTACAGAATTATTGACAACTGTTGCTTACAGTAGGACAATTACACTTACGATTATATGATGGACAGTTACTGATTAATGGCACTGGTTTTGTTTCGGTACAACTTTGCTATCTTTTGCTTTATTTGCTATAATAGTATTCCAAGCAATCTGTTCTCTCCAAAAATTAGTGACAAGGATGACATCATCTCTACCTAAAATTCCTCAAGTAGCCACTTAGAAAATTGAATTCCACAATTGTTTTTAATTTGTCACTGCTAGATGTTCTTCGGGAAGCTCCTGTTATATGACATCATACTACATTAATATCATGAAAAAAATTCCTGAGAACCTCTAGTTCGGAGAAGATAGCAAACCAAAAAGATGCAGCAATTCCAGCCCTAGCTGGGTCCCTATCTTAAGAAGGATGGCCAGACGAAACTATGGCACAGTATCTTCTACCAAAGATTGAGATGCGAAATTTCATCGCAAACTCTTCCCATGGCAACTGGCTCCTCCTGGTTGGTCAGTCTTGCTGTGAAGTGCAAAGAGAGACTTGATAATACATGTGGGGCCTGAAATAAGCAGGGATGCAACAACAAACAGATAACTGTTACTCAAGACATAGAGCCTGCAGAAAAATCTGAGGCGGCAAACTTAGTCAACAAACTCTGATATGTAAGTGATCAAGCATCATGACCAGCACTAACAAATGCTGACATCTTCATCATCCACAAGACGCTTTGTGAGCATGCAGTAACTCCCGAGCAGAGTGCTAAGGTGACAACACCAGGTGCTCCTAAAACCCCAAGAAAGCCCTCATAATCATACTTGTACCTGCCACTCTAATTGTGACTCATCTGTGATTTACTACCTTTTTGTGCTTTAGTACTAGCGTTTCTATGGCCTGACTATGTACTGTTTTCTAATTGATATAGCTGGCAACTAACTGTTGCAAACAATGGGAGCCATCAAACCATGACAGCAGTCAGAAAACAGCACGCTATGGAGGCTACATATGGGGTTGGAGGAAAAGTGCTTCATGCAGGTGTACTCAGCCTGATTCGTACCCCGTGAGGCCACCTCAGAACAGTCAGGCACTACACTGCTCCAAATCACCACAATCACAGCAAAATTCACATCATCATTCACTGATCCAAGCAAACAAACAAGTACAGAAAATAAAGCATTTCTGATGTAAAACTATGAGGGCTGTTCCATTCTAAATGTGCAGGCGACATCAGTCAAAATGAAACAATTCTAAAGAGGTCCTGAATGTCTTAATACATACTGCCATCAATAGATTACAAGCAAGTTGAAATGAATTAGAATTAAAATGAAAAACAATGCTCCTGACTGTCCCCTTTTGACATTTCAAAATGGACCAGCCCATGCAAATCACTTTGTAGAGAAGATCACGAGAAGGTAGATCTATGAAATAAAATAAATAAAAGAGATGCCATAAAAATATTCAAGAAATATTATATCATCTTATGAGGTAATATAAAAGATAAATCGGAATGTGCAACAAGGTGCTTAGAATAACTTAAGTGCACATATTGTGTTGTGTGCAGAGAAATAAATAAACATAAATAACCATAGTCTGTGTGCTGGAGGCCTTGACAACTTATGCAATATTTCAACCTCAAACTTTTTACACATTTCTCCAAATTTGTGATACCATGAAAATTTGGACCTTTCAATGCTCCAATGCAAATGACTAACTAGAATACTAGTATTTGAGAATGTTAACTTATTACTTAGTACTGCATGGAAAAATAAAAATAAAATAACTTACGTAGCACATATCAATGATCTCATTAACCTACTGACATAAAGCATATATAACATATTGCATATTTATAAACATTACTTAGAGCAAGGAGATTCATATGTTTCAAAACTTCAGATGTCTAGATGTCTACATGTGATGTACAGTTCACTGTGTACATTTTAAAGTTAAAATGGACTTAAACTACATTTTCATTTTTCTCTTTGGTTGTTGATGAGAATGTAATTAGTCTTCATGGTTTAAGATTGTGGCCAGCCAGCTAGCACACACACCATACACAAATAAAACAAGAGTGGAGAAGGTTGAACAAACTAACACGAAACAAAACAAAATAAAACAACAACAGTTCTGTTAAACAACCATCCAAACCCAAGCAGGCACTACAGGTTAGGAGTCGAGCTGCTGGAGAGATACTAACATGTTCTGGAGCTGGTGCTTCAGGGTCTGGATCTCCTCATGAAGGGTCTGTGTTCTGTCGTCAAGGCAACAACAGTTTAAACTGTCCATACAAGACAATGACAAATTGATTAATTTGTATTTAATCATTAATCGTACGAGATCCCACTGATATTCTCCCACCCAGGACCATGTGTAAAGGATATGTGCTGCCTCATAGTCCTCCTGCCCTACAGCCTCCTGCAGCTGGTCCTCCAGCTCCAGTAGCCGCATGCTGAAGGCCTCACAGGCCTGAACATAGTCTTCCGCCTGGCAGCTGCCACCTGCAGCCTCACAGGCTTGCATGTGGTCTTCAGCTGCACAGCTGCCACCTGTAGGGGCCTGTACAGCAGCAAGGAAAGGAAATGATGTAAAATTCAATGTGCTACCTGAAAAACTTGTCTTCCACTGGTTATAACAATAGAGACTATAAACATGTATGTACACTACACAGTCCAGCCTCAATATAAGGATACTCCCATGCATTTGTCTAAGTACATGTATTCTGTTTCACTAGAGAATAACAAAAGACAGCAACCATGTCAATTACTATACACTTTATAGTGTTTCCCAGAATACCTCCTTGTTCTCTGGACCTGTAGCCTTCAACACTCCACCATCTCCAACACAGGAGGTATCCATGGCAACCATGTCATCATCATCCTCCCCCAGGATGCCTTGCAGGTCCAGGGCCTGCAGTTCCTGGGGCAGAGGTAGGTGGTGCTTCTCACAGATGTCCTGGATCCACAGCTGGCATGCCGTCATGTCGGCCTGGAGCACACTTCTTATAACATCATTTGCACATCTGGGGAGAAATGACATAACAACAATGACAATGATGATTAAATCCTTTATTTGTAGATAGCATTTCAAAAATGACATCTAAAGATCAACAGACCTGTCTAACTGAAGCTGCAGTTCTTGGTAGAGTTGATAGGCTTCATCTTTTCTGACTGCATCTGAAAAGTTGACACATCAGAATGGAAGTTAGTGGGAGTCTAAGAGATCTAAAAATATTTCATGCACATTGAGATGTTTTCAAATAAAGACAGGTTTAAGAGGGACAATGAAGAAAAAGTATAAAACCTATAGCAAAAAGAAGCGCATTTCAATGTCCAGTTCATTTGTCCAAAATCATACTCCAGAGTCATTTGCACAAAACTGAAAACAACACACCATTTTCTTCTTCCTTTTGCTTCAGCTCCTCCTGGACTTCCTTGAACACTTTCTTAGACATCTCCAAGTTCTGTGTTTGCTGCTCTACATCTTCTTGAGCTCTCACCAGCTCCTTCTCCTTAGCGACCCTCTTGTCTTCCAAGGTCTTGATCTCATCGGCAAGACGTTTGGCTTCAGAAAAATTATAACCTGTGGGGGATTGGAGGATCTTACTTCTGTACTACAAAATTGATTCACCTGAAAACTTTAAAAAACACCATAGAAAGTTTCTTTCCCCTTCCACCACAAAAGTAAGTCCCACAAAATACAAGAAATTGCAGTATAACAAGATGAAGAGTATAGCTGAACTTTTGTTGTGTGTATACGTATAAATATTTCGTCAAAAGATACTGACCTGCCACAGCCAGCTGCTTAGCCTCCTGCAGTACTGGCATCTGGGCTGCGGTCTCACCCAGCTGTTTGGTCAAATCTGTAACTCTGGTCTGATACCTCAGAACCTGTGAAAGAAGTGGTAGCTTGAAAGCTTGCGAACATATCATAACCCCAACTTAGGCAACTATAAAAAAAAAGGTTAGGAATTGAAAGTACATTTAGGTAAAATTGCAATCAATATATAAAGACTGTAGATCTTGCCTCCTCTCCCCTCCAACCACAAAACTATATCTACTCAAAATAGATGAATGAACAGTACATGTATATGTTATACCTGTGTGGTCAGTTCCTGCACCTCTCTCTGCCTTTCCTGCTGTTGTTCCTTTAACCTGCAGTGAAAAGGTATAAGTCAAGTAATCCAATAGCAAGAAAAAAAAACAATTAAAGACTAGAAGAATCCCAAATTTCATTGGTTCCTACCACCTGTCTACTGCATGCTGTAACATTGGCAATCTTTAAACTTGAACTTGTCCTGCTGACCTTGTGATTTGTTGGTTATTTGTGTTGATAGTTCCTGTGTAGACAGGTAGAGCCATCATGTCCTCAGCTCTGGTGCTCAGCTCCTGGGCCTGACTCGTCATGTGGGAAACTCTCTCCTGGATAGACTGGAGACTGTCCTGCAGTCTGCAGAACAAATTCACTTCTCATATAAGCAACAATGGAGTATTCCACAATGTTTGCACATTCCTCTAGGAGTTTTATCGCATTCAATATTATGGTGCAGAGGACCAAAATACAGACCCATGTACATTTTGCTTCAATTCTGCAGTCTATGACCTTCTTGGTCCAGGTAAGACCTTTAATAGGCTATGACAGTCACCCTGTCCGTACCTTTTCTCCTCTATCTGTAGTTCCACCTCCCTGTCCCTGAGAGTCTGTTCCTCCTGTGCTGCCTCCCTAGCCTGGTCCTCCAGCTCTCCCTGTTTCCTGTCGATGGTCCTCCGCTCCTCCTCCAGCTGCACACGCTCCGTGGAGAACTGCTGCTCGACCCTACTAATGCTGTCCTCTTGCAGCTGAATCTCTGCGGAGATGGACTCCTCCTGCTGCCGGAGAACACGTAGACGCTCTTCCAGGGCAGAGATTTCCTCCTGGGGAAACAGGAATGTACCTTGAGCTACTCTTATAGCTTACTGAGAGAATAACTTATATTTTCTTGCTTGCTTGCACTGCATTGCTTATTGTTTCATGATGTAACACAGTTTAGTCCTGGAGTGTAAATATGGAAAACTGGACTGATTGGTTTCATTCACTCACACTCAGGCTTATTCCTGTCATCATTGCCATTAAACCCTGACAATAACTGCATGTACCTGTAACTTGTAACAAAAAGGGAAATAACAGACAGAAAACAGAGACAACTGTCGCACACCTGGATGTCCTGTCTCTTCTCCACCAGCTGTTCCCTGGCTGTGTGGAACTCAGCTGTCCTCTCCTCCACCTGGCTGGACAGCTGTGCTTTTGACTTCTGTAGGTGCTCCCGGTCAAGGGACAGGTGGCTGGAGCACAAAAAATATGCATTTTGCAACAAATTTGTAATTACTACATCAAAAGGCAAACATGGACTGTTCTTAAAACAATCTAAAGGCTCAGTCAACAATGTCACTCACTGCAAATGACAAGAAAACAATTTCTGAGTCTGTACCTTGCTGCCATGGCCAGTTGATCTTGAAGTGTGGCAAGTTTTTGTTTCTCCCTGAGTGAAAAGGTAAAACTCAGTAAGATTATATGGATGACATTTTCTGGGAACCCCAAAACTGATGCGCGCGTGCGAATAAAAAAAAAGTTTTGCAAAAAAAAAAGTTGCTTTCACTATGAAATCTACGTGGTCATGAAGGTTGAACAAATGGCACAGAATATGTTATGGCAAATAATCTACTCTTCGAATTCATTTCTTTACATTTTTGTCTTTTTTCCTTTGATTTTGGCATTCTACGACATTGGTATCGTTTCTAAATGTTTTCCTTGCAACTTATGGTATATTTTTGCTCATTTAGCAACTGTTTTGCAAGATTTACAGTATGGTTGAAAACTTTTTTTTTTTTGGAAACGGCCGAAAATTCATGCATATAATCATCCATATAATCAAATCAACATGGCCTAAGTGCAAATTACACAGTTATCAACCTGGTGTTATAACCTGGTGTACTCTTATGAAAACACAAGTGGGGAAGACATAATCATGATCATAATTTTAAACAGCAAATAACTCACACTCAATTCTAGTGACTAAAGTTGACTTACTGCCATTCTCCCTACCTGTTCAGTTCTACCTGTTTTGTTGTATGAAGCTCTTTTAAGCACAGTTCCTCCTTGGTTTTCATGGCAGTGTATCTCTCTGCCTCTTCTGTTACCATGGCAACTTCCTCCTCCATCACATGTCTCATCTCCTCCAGCAGTGATGCAGTGGAGGGCTCTGAGGACGGTAAGTCAAAGGTCATGGCCTGCAGGTCAGCTGTGAGAGACTGCAATCTTCTGTTGAAGGCTTCAGCTGCAAATGGAAAGGAGAAAATACAAAGTGAAAGTTTTTTCATTGAAAAATGTCTGCTACGGAATAAAAACTGAAGCTTGCTTCCAAATTTTTCATACAGTATCCATTCTGTATCAATGATATCACACTGATGTGATAACATAGCTTCTGAGGGAGGACCAAGTATTGGTCCAAGTATTGGAGGGAGGACCAAGTATTACTTACTAGATATGAGTGTATCAGCATAATGTAGCCTGAAGCTGTCACAATGTATACAAATTTAACCTGTCACGCACGGTGTTACAAAGCATGTGTCATTGAAAATAATGATTGATGAGCTACATTGTGTGAACTCTTCTCTACCATTGTATCCTACCATCTGTTACAAACATGTTGTCCACACTAACTCCAGCATTCAACACTTACATCTACTATCTAGCGACTAAACTATTCATACCCTTTTCATAGTCTTCATTCTTCACAGCCTGATCCTGCTCTGCCTTCACTCTGCTGAGCTCTCGTCTTTTCTGTTGAGTAAAGAGCAGAGGATTCCAATAAAGAACTCATGTTCATAACTGCATTTTGTTGACTCTAAGTAGAAACAATTAAATGCTTTATAGTAGTCCTATAATGTACTTATATACCTACTTAACTAAGACCTACTGAGACCATTTACAAGGGCTGAAGGTGGTGTCCTTACTAGTATACATGCCGTAAGGATCTTAAATAGTGTTACTGTTCTTAAGAAGAAGGACAGGTTTTGTCAGAAAACCCTGGCTTGTGTGTCTCACCTTGACCTGCCTGCAGCACAGCTTGACGTGTGTCTGTAGCAGAGTCTGGTGCTGCTGCTGCAGATGGGAAAACCTTTCCCTGTCATGGAGAAAACACAGTGTTCTGTTTACCACTGACCAGCAATTACTACCAGTAGTATGAAGAGATGAAATTTCTTATCAATGACATATCTTGTATAGCTATTATCCAAAAAAATATCATTATTCTGCTTCTCCCTTGTTGTGAGGAAGGATGGTTATGATGCATACTAAGTTAATCTGGGTATGCCTGTTCTCAGTTTCTTAATACTCGCAAGTATTTCTTGACAACCTATGTAGCCACCATGTACATTCTGTATGTCTGAACAAACCAGTCTTACCTGACTTCTTCCAGTCTACTGTTCTGAGAATCTTCCACCATGGAATCTGTCATTACAAGGTCATCTTCTTTCCTTGTTGCTACTTCTGATGTCACTAATGAGTCATTTGCAGTATCATCGCTGCCAAGATTAACATCTTGTTTTCTGATGACAGTTTCTTCAGGTAAATCATCTCCTGCTGCTTTTTCAGCTTCTTCTACTTCCGACCTTCCTACAGGTTGGTGACTAAATTCTGTCTTCTCTGTACACGATTCGATCTCAAGGTCAATGTCATCATTATCCTCTGCAGCTTTGGTGACATCAGCTGACTGTAAAAATCTAAAAGATGATGTCACTGTTGTTGTATTTTGCACACTACTAGATTCCCCACTATCAGCTCCTGTGTTAACTGTACCCTCATCAGCCTTAGGATCCAATAAGTCCAGCTCTAAACCATCCAACGGTCCTGTCTCTGTATCACTATTGCACTGTACATTGTCTGGACCAGTACTGCAAGGCATGGTAACATCCAGGTCCAGGTTAAAATCCAAGTCAAAGCTGAGATCAAGGCTGAGTGATTCTAGCTCAGATACAGCAGTGGTTTCTCCAACCTGTTCACTGTCTGCAACATCAAGGGTTAGAGATTCAAATGGGTCGGATGAGGATGATTTGTCCTTGTTTAGATTTTCCTCTGTTTGAGTTTTGTTGTTCAAAGGTGGAAATATATTGGCTCTGTCCAGTTTTGCAGGGTGGCAATCCCTTGAAATCTCACTTGAACTTGAAGTTCTTTCATCCAGTCTCAAGGTATCAGCTCTTTCTTGAGTGGACAATTTTGAGGATGATACTTTGGATTTTTCTATGGATAGTCTGTTTAGAGATATATCCTGGTCATTACTTTCTTCCAGTTCTTCTCTCACTCTCAGAGTTGATTTCAACACTGGCAAATCGTCAGCATCAGGATCAGTCTTCATCCTCTCTGTGGACGTGTCTTGTCTTGCATATCCAGGCCGAATAAGAGAAATATGTCTTTTCTTCCTGGTTATTTTTGTACCTGGCCCAGTGAGTTTTACGACAGATGCATCCCTGGGAGAAGTGTCACCTGTGGAGGCAGGTAAGGGGACACCTGTGGAGGCAGGTAACGAGACACCTGTGGAGGCAGGTAAGGGGACACCTGTGGAGGTAGGTAAGGGGACACCTGTGGAGGCAGGTAAGGGGACACCTGTGGAGGCAGGTAAGGGGACACCTGTGGAGGCAGGTAAGGGGACACCTGGGGAGACAGGTAAGGGGACACCTGAGAAAACAGGTCTGGTGACAGCACGAGGGGAAGATGTTGTGCTGGAAGACTCACTGCTGTAACCTGAGGTGGCTCCACTGGCTGACAGACCAGATGGGAAGGTGTATGGTGGAGAAGAGACTTGAGAGGTGGCACTGACACTTCTTGATGATAAAGTCACACTGCTTGTTGTAGTTGTCTCAGTAATACTGCTTTTATCAACCTGGACTTGGTCAACTGGAGGAGCTGTGTTGGAAAGAAGCATATAAATGTGGCATATAACATGGAGCAAACAAACCTTTCACAATGTAAATTGCATTAACTTTATGCCTTTATAAAAATAGACATAGGCTACTGACAGGATCTTCCTGTTAGTGTCAATATCCTACACAAATGAAAACAAGGAAACTAACAGTTTGATCTAACGTATTATGATACCTATACATTCATGCAAGTCTATTTAGATTGGAATCCATCCACTTGTAAATCATTTGTTTGTTTGTTTTCGTTCAAGCTAACACTAACAGGTAAATATTTGCAACTGTTTATCTTCTGCACAGCGAGGCGGATACGAAATTAAACACAGTGAGGCATGAATATATTTAACATTTCAACACCGAGAAAAACAGTAATAACCTTCTGTAATAACCGTCTGTCCCTAAGAGTTTCGAGATTTTTATGTTTTAACTTTTATACAAGACACCACCCACTAAAGTTGGCCTCCGCCCACAAATAATTTTCTGGTATCTGCACCATAAAACCGTTTGAACTCATTTACCTGCAGCGGTAGAGGTTATAAACGAAAAGAGTGACTTCTGTCCGGCTTCGCCACTCTCTTGGTCCACCTTGCTGAGCTTCATCCCTTGGAAAAGTGACATTTTCTCGCCCGAACGCCGACAAAACTTCACAAAATCATTCAACCGTCCGCCATTTTGTTTATTGACAATCGGCGGGACAGAACATAGCGCTACATTCGTGTGGCCCCGGATTCGCCAGTACAAGTTTTTACTTCCTGCTTCCTGTTGGCTTCCCCATTTTACATCCATGCCAAAACCAGACAGGCATGTGGTCTCATGTACATCAGGTGATGTGAACTGGTTCGTCAACTTTCTGCAGCACAACGTGTTATTATTCGATCAACAGAAGCCTCACCAGCTGCACAACTAGACGATGTTTCCGAGATCTTTGCTGTTAGTCCTTGTACTTCTCCTGGACTTGGTCGTGGCATCAAACCAACCTCCTGATAGAACGACGAAAGCGTCCGGGGAAAATGACGGGATCACTCGAAGTTCGCCCTCGGGAGAAGGCACAGACTTCTGCACGGGAGCAGACTGTCCGGAAGGGAGGACAGAGGTAGGTGAAGAAACGCCAGAGTATCGTCAGGGACACGGACAACCGTTCGGCTCTCACCGCCAGCCCGCCGGAGAGGTGGAGGTCCTCCCGTACATGATCTCCCCGCAGGACTTCCACCAACACTTCGTGACCAAACACAGACCTCTACTGTTTAAAGGTGGGATGTAAATCATGTAACATCATAGCAATAAGTTCCTTTGACTGTGCAGTAAAAACTGCACGAGAAAACACCTGTCAGAGGGGACCGAGGTAATCTGGTTTATGTCAGCAGTTAATGTGGACAGGTGGTCACTATAGACCTTGTAAAGTTTTGTCAATGGGAAAACTATATTCATTGGTGGCCCTTATCATTGACGGTCACTTGTACACGTTTGACTGTATTCGTTGTGTAAAATAGAGTTTGTCGAAACGATTCTGGTAAACTCTTCAAAAGTTTTATCTTATACATGTCCAAGTTAATTACAGATAATTAACGTTACTGTTGGTACCAATTAGTAGTCTAAACTATTCCCCAGGGGTTGGTTTGTTTTAATAATTGTTTTGCAATTGTTGGCCAGGAGATTTTGACCGGGGGTTTCAAACAGTTTTAAGTTGTAGATTAATTTTAGGTGACAGTCATTGACACATACTTACATGCCATAATTCTAATCAAAAGATTGAACTGAAATCTTGTTGTCCTTTGCGTGACATGCTCTAGGAGGGGCGAAACACTGGCCTGCCTACACACTGTGGGATGAAGAGTATCTGAAGCAACATATGGGCATGGAGCAGGACAAGGACCTGCATCCTGACATGAAGAGTAGGTGTTGTTTAGTTTTTCTGGTTAATAAAGTAGTTGCAGTTTTCTCATAAACTGCTAGGGGGCAACATTACACAGCCCACAACAAAAGTGAGTTGTCAGAACAAAGCATAACTGTCTTCTCTGACAATCCTGTTTGTTACCTTCCTGCTACAGAGGACGTGATCCTGCCCACCTGCCTGCGCTGTGAGGAGATGTACTCCCAGTCTTTCACAACTCAGCTCCATACAGGCAGTGGGGAGGCCAGCTCAAGACTACACATAGACACACAGGAGGTGGGAATTAAGTTCAAAATGCTTTTCCAAACCCATACTCAACTAGGGCCTTCTTCTTAGAGATATCCAATCACTTTGTTAATGCTGCCTGTGCAAAAGAATGTTTTTATTTTCACCAACACTTGTTTAAGAGAAGGAAATGTCCTTGGTGCTGAAATGCATATCATTTCTGTGTGATGATGAAGTCTGTTTGTACACACATGTAGAACCTGTTTGCTGTCCTGCGTGGCCCCCAGACAGTGCTCCTGGTGTCACCACTTCATTCTAACGATGTTTATGCAGATGAGGCCAGGGTACTTGGGGTTTCTCCCGTGGACGTCGACTTTGTGGACATGGAGAAGTATCCAAGGTCAGATAAAGGTCATGTATTTTTAAGCACATAGCCATTCCTAGGTTTTTTTAATCTGTGTGTGTGTGTGTTTACCCCAATATGAAAATCTGGATGACACTTTCATCCCGAGATGCTTTGCCAATCACAGGAATACTATCACCTTCACAGAACCTTGCAAAGAAAGCAACCTGCCCTCCCAACATCTTCTTGGAGATTGCTTGTTGTAACCTTATGTTGTTTCCCATTTGTCAAAAGAAGAGAAGCCAGAGTCAATTCCTGCATTGAAAGATTGAACCTACATGAAGTTTTTGTGTGCTGTCTTTATTAATGTTTGCGTTCCCTGTACCTGCCCAGAGTGGCTGATGTGCAGTACCAGAGGGCAGATCTGGAGGCAGGAGACCTGCTGTATGTCCCACAGATGTGGTGGCGCCACGTCAGGGCAGACTCAGGCAGGCAGCAGGGGGTGGTCATCAGGTGGAGGTCTAAACCTGCCGACAAACAGACACAGCAGCAGAACAGTCAGGCACAGCAGCAAAATAGTCAGGTACAGGAGCAGACTGTGCCAGAGAGAAGGTACTCCTATGGGCAGTGGCTGGCTGCATATGAGCTGTGGGTCCAGAACGTGAGCATCTCCAGCCCCAGGCTCACCTGCCACCATCAGAACAGTCCCATGAGCGTCTACAATTTTGAGACCATGAAGCAAGACCTGGACATTTTTAATGGACCTGAGCTGGTAACTATTGGTTTGGCTCTGTTTATAT